GCGGTCATTCCTCAGACTCTTGATGAGCTGGCGTTTAAGGGATTTGCGCGCTGTCATATGCGGCATCCGTAGGACGGGTTCTTCGGGCGCCCAGCAGGGCAACCCAGGTCAACGAAATCCGTCGTTTGTGTTTTGAGCTTGAGGTATGGTCCGATGTTGTTTTGATCGATATCTAGAGTTTTTTCAGGAACTAAACTATATTAGATTTCAACGTGTCAAACCCGAACAACGTTCGGAGTGTATCGAAAAAACGATGCTAGTTTGCAAAACTGTTCCTGACTCATTCGATTGTAAAAATCGCTTTGATAAAGGTTACCCGCGGTAACCGAAACGTCGGCTTATTTCACCTGTACCGACATCGCTGTGTTTTCCCAAAAAATTACAATTTGTATATTAGATTTCAATTACTCGTGATACGTTGGAAGAATGAAATGAGTCACAGCTTTATTGGGCACATTTTTGAGATGGAATAAATTACATGAATAGCCATTAAACCCGAAAATGACAAAGAAGGTAAGGTTCTACTAATCCGAAACCCTGGAATTTTCGCTATGAACCAGAAAAGGTAGGATTGCTTCGAATGATGATTTTATAGTGCGCCTTCGGACCGAACCAAACCTCGTACGACGATAAAATCATTCAATGCTCAAACAACAATACAATGATGACTGCTTTCTTTCTTGATTAGTGGAAATTTAAACTGATAAAATAAATGATGAAAAAAATAAACAGTTTAGTGAATCAGAAAAACATGGACGCACCTTGATTTTGTTCCGTTTCCAATGTCGTATCACAAGGCATACTTTGATCGCCCCGGGATTGCAAAAGAGATGTGATGGACTGCAATTTGGCTAATTCCTGCATTCCGTTATCCTGACAACGTGCCACACGACGACATAATTTGTCCATCTGATAAATTGTCACCATACGAGACCCACTAGTTAGACTTTCTGGAGCTGTGCCGGTTTCCGCAGTATTGCTAGCCTGTCTGGCCAAATTCGCAGATGGTTGCGAGAAACCAGAGACCACGAGAAAATTGCACCACTTTCGTTTCTTCGGTTGATAGACACGTAGGGGACACATGACAAAGTGTTGCTGTGGTTGACTTTGTTTGACTGAACTGGAGGAGACCGATGGGTGAATCGTGGATGATGTTGGCGAAGCGTTTCGATAGTAGAGGAGGTCTAACGCAGCCAACAGGGCATCGGAGGATATGTGCGGACGGGGACGATCGGTGGACGAGCCAGCGCTGTTTAGACCACCATCGACTTCGCCAGTAATCTGTTGAAGAAGAGACGAACCCGAGGTAAGTTCTCCTTCGGCGTTCGATTCCGAATGTTGCACTAAACTGACCAAAGTTTGCAACAGCAAACCAGAATCCGGGGTCCACAAAGATTCCGGTGGCAGAGAGGATAACGGTGACAATGCTTCGGGTGGATTTTGGCTGGCGGATTCCGGAGGAAGAACAGCTTGATCGGCCAAGTCAATTCCCGACCGTCGATTTGTTATCTCAATTGCGCTCAGTTCCGGAACGGAAGATGCGGCAAGACNTGTGGAAGAGCGGCGACAGATTAGGGACATCTGACAAAGAGTTTCTGCCGGAAGGAAGTTGAGCCATGGAGAAACCATCTCTACCGGTGGATCCGGGCGAGGACGTAAACAGAACACGGCCTGCTTGTAGCACACAACGCCAAAGGTCTTTGTTTGCCTCAGGCATATTCGGAACAGGAAACTGTTGAAGCAGTGAATGGGAAAATCCACAGTAAAAAGATGAATGATCAATTATGGACACCAACAGAACGCATTTGTTCGTTGATCACTTGATTGATTGGACAGCACAAGAAGTAACGCTACAATAGTTATACGAAGAGACGACAAAACGCTTACCGATATATTGTCACAAACCCGAACCGTGGGACAAGCTTCACGTGTGTCAGACAACATACGCTTCATAGCTTCCAGACGCTGTTGATAGGCAGACTTCATAGCTTGATCCGTGATAGCAGGGTCAAAAAGTTGTTTGATCATACCTGTGATTCAAGAGGTAAGGTAGACAAATAAATATGATCAGTGAACACAGAGGGAGAGAACGCAATGAGAGCATGTGTCAATCTTTGAGTACATGTGTCCGGGGAAAATCTAATTTTCCAGGGGGGGGAGCATTAGGCCGAAACAATAGAAAATGTATTTGAAACCACCGCATTCGGGTTCAGTTCAGTTCAGTTTGAACAACCATTAACCATGCACTTGCGTGCGCCGGTTTTGGTTGCTGTCTTTTGGCTGCCCATTGAGATGAAGAGTAGGAGAAGAAAGGAAAGTTGAAAGTGGATTCGAAAAGACAACGGAGAAGTTCAGTGGTCTAAGGTTGGAAAGAAATAGGGGAGATGCACGAACGCCACTGTTTACGACACCCAGCCATATCACTCAGTGTCTCTAACCATCGGTTACGATCATCCCGAGGTCCCCAGCCAGGGAGCCCAACAGGACCTATGTGACCCAATTTCCTGGTTAGGGTTTTCACACCCTCGTGCCAGGTCTTAACTTGATCACCCTTGGCTTTTTCCACTCTGTATTCCACTCTGCATTCGGGTGGTGGTGGCGCAGTGGTTTCGTCGCTGTCACTGGTGTGTTTTGGACCCTATGGTCCGAGGTTCGAGCCCCGGCACCGCCACCGCCACCGCTGCCCGGCTTCGGTGGTAGACAGCTCTGCTGTCGTTCGGGTCAATACCACGCCTCACCTATCGGAGCCTTATATGCTTCACCACTCCAAGTCCCGGGGGCTAATGCTACGGGTTCCCAACACTGAGCTGAAGGTCCTCGTGAATATGGGGTTCCCCCGTCTGCTGTACATCACATGGGTGTGTAATTAAAAAAAACTGAAAAAATCCACAGGAAGTTGCTCGTGTTCTCTCACTGTTACTGGATTGGTCTGAATCAAGGTAATAGAAAGAATACGGAAAACTGATTGGATCGTGTGCTGCACTTCGACTTTTCCACTCAGAAAAAATTCACGCTGTGCGCAACCTTACAGATGTAGCATGCTTAGTCGTTACTTAGAGCACTTTTCTGGAGCTTTGAAAAAAAAATTCGCATGGTTTCGCAAATGCCAGTTAATTGGAAGTCGGGAGGAAACATCTCGTCTGACAAGATCGGAAGGGCAGACAGTTGTAACAACACCGTTAAGAACATTAGAGGTGTTTTGGAACGCACAGAAAAGCCATCATTGATTGTGGTCTCTGATTTGAAATGTTGGAGGGTTATTTTAATCCACCGTTGCTTTAAATAATGAGGCTCTCTCAAACTAAACACCAAGAACTTTGATTACAAAACCGAAACATTCATCAATTAACAGTTGGACAAACTAGGTCGTTCACGACAGATGAGTTAACCCATAGCCACATTAACCAAAAAAAACTTTATATTTAACACCGACAAGTAGACAAGCATAGTGCCAACGCCACAAAATTAGTAACAATAACAATACGGGCAGGTGGATTCGGATACTGAACAAACTGGAAAGAGGGTGAAACACATGAACACGGGGAAGATAACCGCCTCCAAATGCCTCAGTATGGTTGGAGGTGGGTGTCTAGGGTTGCGGCTGGTCACCCTTCTCTCGCACCTCGTGAAATGCTCCCATACAACCAGACGTCTCGAGCAGCCTCTGCTGAGGAAGCCCTGCTCACTGCCTTCACGTGGCGGAGGTGTTTTCGCACCAAAGTGAAAGGACGGAAAGCCGATATCCGGGGCTATAAACGGGTTGATGGACCACAAGTAGTCGACCTGAGGGAGTTGGCTACAAACCCTGATTCCAAACCAACCATTTTCGTTTAATGGGGAACGAGGTTTCGCCGAACAAACCGCACATCAGTTGCGCCACTGACATCTATTCTG